TTCTCTTCCAGGTCCTTTCCTCATATCTCATGACAGTGTGAAATGCTGACAAGATCCAACAAGCAAAACCAAATTATAATTTTGGAGAAGTTAGGATGGTTCAGGGACCCCGTGGCTCCCCCACAAGAGCAAAGGCCACAGCGGACACAGGTTTCCCTTTTTTCTCTTAGCCATAAGCCTCACCCCCACTTTTGACTTTCACAATCTTTCCTGATTTTTACATCTCTGAGCAAGGGCCAGTCACTGTGACATTCATATTCAATCAGTGAATGCTGATGTGAACACTCTGCCTTGGGGTGGGTCTCCAGGAGCAATCCAACAGTACGGCTAGGGTCTCCTGCCACCTTCCAGAAGCTTCTCTGGGCAGGGCCACACTTTCTGTTTTCTTGTCCTAGGGATGTGAAGATGGCTAGAAGTCCTGGTGCTAACTTTGCCTGTGGTCTGACGGCACCATGTGCCACTCACATGAAGCCGCCGATCCCCCGTGTGGAGGTGGATGACCAGTCAGAGGAAACACTTCCTCCCACCCCCTACCCCACTTCCCCTTCTCAACTCTTCTTCCTTCCTGTCTCTCTCCCTTCCAAACAACACATGCCCATCTTTCAGTTACCACAGAAGGACCAAAGATCTATCTCCAGGCACGTAAGTGGGCCCCAGGAATTAGATCACATCTTCTGCGCTGGTGGGTAGGCTTTCCCCCCTCAACAAACAAACAAAAACAAACAACACAGCCAGACAAAGCTACAAATGTCAAAAATACCTTGTACTGCTCAGTGCCTCTTTCCAGGGCTGCTAGGTCTGTAAGGTGCTGGGTTTTGGTTGATTTACTCATTCCTATATTCCAAGCACCTTGGCACTATGCTTAAATATTTGTTGAGTGACTGAATTGATGGGATTTACTATCTATAAGATGAAGATAAAGGATTGGTAAACACGCAGTCAGTTGACATGATCACATAAAGGTTCCTTTACAGAGTTTTGTTGTGTTTGTTCTCTGTCAGCAAAGGTTTAATTCAAGAAGCCCCTAAAATATGTGTAACAAAATATTAGTCCTGAAGAATAAAAAGAGAATGTTTTTGCCTAAAACCTGTGTGTGTGTGTGTGTGTGTGTATGTGTGTGTGTGTGCGTGTGTGTGTGTATGAAACCTGTAGAAAAGTAGTTTGGGATACATATACATACACACACACAGACACACACATGTATGCCAAGTTATATATAAATCTGTACATATTCTGGGTGTGCATATGTATGTGTGTTTTCTAACTTTCATTATAAATTTCCCAGAGGAAAACATGGCCTGCTACACTTTCCTAATCATTTTTGCCATGTTTTACCTGCTGCCTGGCAAAGCTTGTGGGAGCAGTACACCATCAAAGGCATTTTGAGAAAATTTGTACCTTAAGTCAGCTTTATTTCTTTTAGTTTTCTTCCTTTCAGAAAAAGACCTCTAAGTTAACGTCAATGAACCATATATTAAAAATGGCTACAGTGGTCAACTTTATGTTATGTGTCTTTTTAAAAACACGACTAGATTTTCTTTTTAAACTTCCAAAATACTACTTTATCAGGAAAGAAGATGAATCCAGTGTTTTACTTTAGTAACACAATCATGCACTCAAAATTAATGGCACTGCCAAAACAAAGGTTTGGTTTTGGTACAAGGCCATGCCTTGATTTTGAACACAGGGCTTTTTCTCAGTATGTACTTTTAGTGAGAATTTAAAATGTCTACACGGTGGCCCGTGATTGTCTATGGTAGTTCAACTGAGAAACAAAGTTGACCATATCACTGACACAGTGGGCAATCTTGGGCACACTCTGCTCGCCGTATGTAAAACATGTTTCAGGAATTCTTTACTTTCCTTCTCCAGCACACTCGGCAGTCAACAGCACAGGTGCTCTGGGCTCAAGGGGCCAGGCAGCCACTGGCCTCCCCCTCCCCCACCGCAGCCCCAGTGTCCAAGGAAAGAGTTTGAAAAACACAAGGCTTAATTATTTAGGACTTTTTCCAAGTTTTACTCTTCTGAGAGAGGAAAAGAGGGCACTGGGAAGGCTACGTGAGATGAGATGGGGGAAGGAGATAAAAACACACTTCACAATAATAGTATCTAATACGTTATGTACTGATTTTAAAATATAAGAATAATAAAGTGTTGCTTCTTGTAACAAGAGCGAACAAGAAGGGGATGTTTGTGTCCTTGCTGAAGCCTGTGGTACCCTGTGATTTTACACAGGTCCACGTAGCCTTCAGCTTTGCAAGTGCAGATTGGCACCATGTTACGCGTGGCGAGCACCTTTCTAATTTCAACATACATTTTAGATTTACAAAAAATAAGGAAAATATTTACCAGAATGTTGAAGGCAGATACTATCCCAGAGAAGTTGCCTATTTATATATTGTTTTCTGAGACCCTCTTAGTTTTTAATGAGGAAGGTATTGCTAAAAACAAAAAGTGTTAATTACATAAATATGCTTATTCTTTTCAAAGCATAACTATGCTATGGTTAATGAACAATGGAGAAATGAACCCAAAACTATTTCAACAGAAATACTGTTTCTTAAATAGCCTTGAAAATTATGACATGTTTACCGGGGAAATGCATTACTTGTGACAAGGTTACAAAAACAATATTAACCTTCTTGAAATTTAATAGCCTAGTCAGACGTTTACAGATCACCACCAGGCATGGTGACATAGCTATTTTGCTAAGATTGCACACAAGATAAAACAGATACTTAACGCTACACCAAGACGTGGCTGAATAAGACGGCTTTAGAAGATTTAGGACAGGAGTGTCCCACTAAATCGCCATGCAGGTTGTTCTAAAGATAGAATTCTTGGAGATGAAGAACCTCATACTTTCTTTTTCTTTTTAATTTGCTTGTCTTAGTTTGGACCCCTTGTTCTGCAGTCTTGTACACAGGGTCAGTCCAAATTATTCTTACATAGACATATATCTATCTTTTCGGGGTAGGTATTGGCTCCACTGGCAGGTTACCAAGCCCTCTCTAATTCTATCTAATATAGGATGAGGTCACTGTAGTCCATAATCAAAGAGGGTGTTTGCTTATGCAAAAAATACCCCCACAAAAATAGCACTGTCAATAAGCCCAAGCCTGCAGAATAGTGCTTAAAAATACATAATGAAATACACACCATACAACCGCACTTCCAACAAGTATAAGTCTAGGACAAAATAATTGTTATAAAGTTAATTTTGTTACTGTTGTTTTATTATGAGATCTATTATTTGCCCATTCATATTATGTTTCTCTTAAGAGAATTTACATTTTAATGTCTCATTGTTTTAATAACCCTAAAATAGCTCATTAAAATCTGGTATGTATTTTTTATTTTAGAGAATGCTAGTTTGAGACATATTAAAAAAATAAAGGTCAAAAGTCAAAATGGAAGATACTGATGGTTTTGATAATGCTAATTACATATTACTAAGAATAAAAGCAGATAGGGAAATATGAATACTAAAGAGATAAACATCCCAATGCCAGATTTAAAAAAATAATGGAAAAAAACCCTTAAAATGTCTTTGTACTTCACTGTCATGATTCAAAGCCATAATGAAGCCTGAATTAAAAATGTCAGTTTCTGTGAGTGTTGATAACTTGGTTCTTTGTTGAGCAAGTCAAAATGTGTCTGTTTGATAGGCAAAAATGACAGACTAAAAATGGGAGAAGTTGAATCTAAAAAAAGAAACACACACACACACACACATACACACACGCGCGTGCGCGACTTTCATGAAGGCCCGTAATGTACTTGAAGGAGAAGATCTGTAGGGCAGGAGGTATTATCTTTAGGGAACCACCAGGCAGCACTAAAAGGCAATGTCCACGTCCAATCAAAATCATTTCTGGGGCTGCTGGGGTTTCTGCATCTCTGTCTTCACACTAGACTGGAAACTCTTTGTACTAATTACCAGACTGTACCAGATTTTCTGGTTCAGTTCAATCCTACAATTGACTGACAGTGATGGGCAGGGAAGGGGAAAAATTCAGGCTCGCTGTTGTAAGCGGAGGGTCAGAAATGGCTTCAGAGAATTCGTTGCAGCCCTGGCACCAAAGCAGGTTGAGCAGGAACCATCAGTTAGTTCTAATTCCCACGTTAAATAAAAAAGGAAGGAAAAGCAGCTGCCTGGAACTGCCTGCATCTTACAGAGGTTCTTAGCATGCAACCCGTTTACTGAAAAAGAGTGCAGAATTTTAAGTGGTAATTTTAGATGTCACTGAATTTTATTTTATTTTGCTTTGGGAGAGTAGATATAGATTTGTCTCCAAAACTCAAGAAAGCCACCTGCTTACATTAAGTAGACCTTCATCCTATTTTCAGAAACTAGGAGAAACAATGTTACTATTTTATCTTAGAGAGCAAAGATCTTTAAAGTCTGAGGCATGCCCAGCTTGTGAAGTGTGGTGTGATCAGAGTTAGGCACTTGAAAGCCCTTTACATCGGCCTTCGCAGAACCTACTTGTTTGCAATTCACTGGTCTGGACTTACTTTGTATCCGTAGCAGCTAATGAAATAGTCTATAAAGTCATAGTTTTAAAATGTTACAGGAACAATTAATTTACATCAACTTAGAATTAATGCACTTAAAAAACAAACAAACAACCCAACAAAAACCGAAAACACTGAGTGCGATTTCAAAGACATAGTCTCTGCCCACACTGCTGGTATTTACTCTGAACCCTTCTCCAATCACTTTATTTCTAAACCAAAACAGCAACCCAGTCTTTCCGGACACCAGGCATTAAAAGCGCAGGTGTCAGAATCAGGGTCAAAACAGGAATCCTGACTACTCTAGAGGTGAGGGGAATTATGTACGATCCTGTTCAGGTCAATTGACTTGAAATTTAATCACAGGTTAGGCCCCTTTTCTTTCCAAGCTAAAGAGTAAGCAGCACCTGTTCCAGCCGCATCTCACATTGCAGCAGACACCGCAGCCAGTTCAATTTTTTAGTTACAAGTCAATTACTTACTGGAACAGGAAGAGAGTATTTCACTCACTGATGGACGGCCACGTTTCCAGAGAGACCTGGCAGGCTTGCTTTCTCCAAAAGAAGAGAGAGAGAGGAGAAAAAGTGAGAGTTAAAAATAAGTGATCCTCCACAAAGTTTGCGAGCTAGGCCAGCCCGTGAGAGTAGAGACGCTGTGCAGATGCTTACCTTACAAAGGCTGCACAGAGCTCTCGGCGGAGGCCCATCCCAGCTGGCAAGTCCTGGGACGTCCCCACCAGAGGATCGAGACTGGGTGCAAGGGTGTGGGTGATGCACCTGAGGACAGGGGTGAGCCGAGCGTGGACAGAGAGGCGGCGGGGCAGCGTATCCCCACCACAGCCAGCTCTGCCAGGGACTTTGGAACGCACCGGCTCAGACTTTTGTCCAAAGCTGGGCTTTTTTTTTTTTTTCTTTCCCTTTTTTTCTTCTTTCTTTTCTTTTTCTTTCTTTCTTTTTTTTTTTTTTAAGTGAAGCTAGATTAGTTCATACAAAACTCAACAATACAGCACTGAAACCCATTGTTGAAATTCAACATTTTTCACATAGCGGAGCAGAATAGACAATACGGTATCCAGGAAACCACGGGCTGGATTACACCCTGGCGCTATCTCGTCCTTCTGGGGGCCTGTAATCCCTTTTATTACCTACCACGGTAAGACAAAAACCAAAAACACACCGTGTGGGGGCACCTCTTCCAGAATAAATCCAAAACATCACCACTCTTTGAAAATAAGAGAAATTAAAATAAAAGTGCTGCAGTTGTGTGTCATGGCCTTTAATGCAAGTTAATGATTTTTAAACTTTATTCTTATCCTGACTTGTTTGTGAACTTCCACTGACTTTAAAAAAGTGAAATGATTTATAGATGCTTGTTTAAAAATGATGCTCAAGATTAACTTAGATTTTCTACGCCTTGCGAATACCCGGAAAGTTACTTATTTCAAATGCCCCAGGGCTGGAGCTTAAGTTGAGAGGAAGAAATTTTTATGAACTGGCACTTAAGAACATGTGTTATTAATAAACTATATTTGTTCCTCTATAAACAACACATGATTTTTCAAGCTTTGGGGGGCTTGTTTACCTGTTTCATAGCTTAATAATTTTTACTTTTTAGCACGTCTTAATTTTCAGTTTTAAAATGCATTTCCTGATGCGTAGAACCTCAAAACCATTCTGTACAAGGAAGTAATGCCTATTAACCTTTCTGAAAAATCTGGCCCAATCCCTGTTTAAGATGCAATCCAGTTTCCGAACTTTTCTCGAGCCTTCCAGTGGTCTCAGAGCAGCAGAAGTGACTGCTCCTACCCCTGACCAATTGACAGCTGATTGATGGTTATCTTTTCACTTCAACAATGGAGGGAATTACCATCACTATAGCGATGTACAGTAAATGCCTCCGGAGTAAATTACATGATTCTGAAATTCTCCTTAGCTCACTTGGTAAAACATCAACACAAAAAACTTTCTTTTGCGCCTGCTTCCCAGCATCACAGATTTGGCCTTTCCTGTCAGCTGTGGGAAAAAGAGCTTGACAGCTTCTTTAAAGAGAGGACCAGAAAGGAGCTGAGATACAGGGTGGCACTGGGCCTGCCTCAAGCAAGTGGCCATTCTTTGCACTTGGAAAAAAAAATTAAGCATGTGAGTACAGGTAAGCCCAGTAATAATGCTCCTGCAAGCCACCATCCATCCGTCCCTGGGACCTTACCTTCTCTCCTTCCGTAACTATTCCTGAACCCTGGCCTTACAGCATGGATTCTGGCAGCCTGGTCAACTTATCCTGAGGAGGTGTTAGTTTTTCTCTTAAAATTTCACACTCACTCAGAGCTGCAAAGTGCAGCCTTCCAGATGAGCTCAAGCAAGTGCTTTCCTGAAAGCACACCCTCACCCAGATGCCATGTTGACGGACAGGGACTTAAGGATGTGCCCCAAATCTATGCTCACTGTAAACGTGACTTCTGTTCTCACATGAAAGGCCTAGATCTTGTCAAGGAAGGAAATTCAACGTTTTAAAATATTTGTGCAATTAAAGTAATTTTTTTTCTGGTGAAATAAATATCTTGTTATGGAAGGCTGGCTTGACATAACTTATCTCCCCACTCCCCTTTAAGAGTACATTTTTAAAGTGGAAAGAAAGAACAAAAGCAAAGAAAACCACACACACCTCAGTATGCAAGACACATGCCTCACTCCGTACCTTAATGCGGTAGGTCTATATAATGTCCCACTTAATAGTAAAAGACACACTGAGCTGCAGTTTGAGACAGGGTCCCATGTAGCCCAGGCCAGCCTCCAACTCTAGGCTGAGGATGACTTTTGATCCTCCTGCTTCTACCTCCCAAGTGTGCTGACGTTTCCTGTTTTTGTGATGATAGGGATTGAACTCAGGGCTTTGTGCACTAGATTAGAGTTTTACTGTACCCATGCTGCTCTCCTGCTGAAATGCCCCTCCCCCATTCCATCCTGCTCTGTAGACCTCCGGTGTAAGGGTTTCAGCTTATTGAATGAATTCTAAACCTCCCTGATGAGTTTCCATTTCTTACGGGACACGATTCCAGTCCTGCTTCTCCTCAGTCTCCGTATTTCTCATAACCACACTCCTATTACTTTTATTACATACACGCCCAAGTATAAACCGTGGCATTCCATTCCTTTGTGTGTGTATGTATATATACATGCAGTGAATGCACACGTGTGTGCTGGCTTGTGCACACAAGTGGAGGACAGAGGATGTCGGTGTCCTGCTCTATCACTTGCCATCTCATTCCCTTGAGACAGGGCCTCTCACTGAACCTAGAGCTGGGCTGGCTGCCCAGAAGCCCCGATGACCCTCCTGTCTCCACCGCCATGCCCCAGGGCTGGGGTCACATTGCCAGGCCTTGCTTTTTATGTTGTATGGGGGGATTCAAACTGACAGGAAGCAAGTGCTGTGCCCACTGAACCATCTCCCCAGCCCAAATAGTCCATTTTTGATCCTCATCTTGTGTTCAAGTAGAATGTGCCAGAGTCACGAACCTTTCCCCCCACTGCAGGCCAGTTTGTGTAGACCTATCAGCTGTGTTTTCACTTATTAGTGACTTGAACACTCTGCTCAGGTCACACGACACACCCTCTTTACTGAGATTCCCTTTTCCACTGAAGGGAACTGAGTCTTCCTCTGCAAACCCCTATAGTTCTTGGCCTATAGCGGTGGTATCATGCACATTATCCTTACTTGGCTTGTCGTTTTCCCTAGCCCGACATTAAGCTGTGTGAAGACAGGAATTGAATGATGTGCATCTTCCGTGTCTATTTGGCCTGTGGATGCTCAGCAGGTCATTACTCAATAGAGACAAATGGTTCCTGCTCCTAAGGAATTCTCAATTCAGGGAGGAGTTTATATAAATCATGAGCTTAAAGTGGTGGCTAAGAAGGTAACCAAAACCCCTGGCAGCTAGAATACAGAAATTCCTTTAGAAAGTGAGCTGAAGGCCTGGAATACATAGCTATAGTCCCAGCAGACAGGGCTGAGGCAGGCGGGTGGGGAGTTTGAGGCTAACCTGGGCTATATAGTGAGACCCTGTTATTAAAAAACACTAAGTTAAAATTTTAAAATAAATATTTTGGTGTGCGTGCGTGTGTGTGTGTGTGTGTGTGTGTACTTGTATGTGTGTCTGCCTGCATGTGCTGTTGTATGTAGAAGTCAGGGGTTGACATAAACTGTCCTCATCAATTGAGTTCCACCTTATATTTTGAGATAAGGTTGCCTGCTGATCCCTCCATACTATCTGGCCAGGATGTCCCAGGTTCCCACGTCTTTCCTCCTGTCGGCACCGTAAGTACAGACATAGCAAAGTTTGGCTTTTATTTTCGGTGGGGTTGGGGATACAGACTCAGACTTGGGTTCCTATGGTTGCAAAGCAACACTTTACCAAGTCAGCTCCTCAGACCCTTTGTTTTGTTTCATTTTATTTGAGACACGCGCTCACGTAGCCCAGACTGGTCTTCAACTCCCGATGCTTAGGACTCAGCCTCCTGAGTACAGGGTTAGAGGTATGCCCTATCAAGCTGGCTTAAAGCAAGAATTGGAATGTTTGTATAATGAAAAAACTTCTTCAAATCAATCACTGGGAACATGGAATTTCTTGTAGAAACACATCCAGTTCAAGAGATGCCTGTTTGACTTGCAACCACCATGCTGTGTAACACCTCAGTCTACTAAACCCTGAGCAGCTAGGAAGCTCTGTAATAAACACTTTACATAAATTGTTTCATTTGTTCTTGAGATAACCTTAGGAGGGAAACATTATCATTGTTATTCTACAGATAAAAATATGGGCTGGGGAGATGGTTCTGTGGTCAAAGATGCTTGTTGCCAAGCCTGAGGATCCCCAGGTCCCACATGGTGCAAAGAAAGAACCGACCCCTTAAAGGTTGTCCTTTAAAGTCAGTGTACCCACATGAAAACATTCTCTCTCTCTCTCTCTCTCTCTCTCTCTCTCTCATACATGTGTCCCCCAAATATAAAAAAAAGTTTGAAAAAAAAGAAGAAACTGGACTTGCAGAGGTTGGTCAACTCTCAAGGTCACTCAGCAAATAGCAAGTCTGGGATGGATCTGGGTTCTACATGGTTCTAAGATTCCTGTTGCTTTACAGCATTCAAAACTCAGGAGGCTTCATAGGATAGACAGTATCGGGTCAGGATCCTGGAGAGAGCATCTTAAATGTAGGGGAATGCCCGAGCTGCTTTCTATAGCTGTGATCAAAACCATAACCAAAAGTGACTTGGGGAGGGAAGGGCATATGTCAGTTTTCAGGTCACTGTCCGTCGTCAAGGGAAACCAAGGCAGGAACTCGAGGCAGGAGCTTGAAGCGGAGACCACGGAGGAGCGCTGTTCACTGGCTCACGCCCAGGTCCAGCCCAGGTCTGCCCGGTGCCACCCACAGTGGGGTAAGCCCCCCTACCTCAATGAGCAATCAAGAAAATGCCCCACAGATATGCTCACGAAGCCATTCTGATGGAGAAAACTCCTCCGCTGAGGTTCCCTTTCCCTAAGTGACTAATGAGTGTCAAGTTGACAGTAAAAACCGGTCAGCACAGGTAGGAGAGCCCTTTGTTCCTGCAGAGGCTGCACCCCGTCCTTTGTGAATTGTTTTCTCTTTCCTCACACATGCTGATGCAGATACCCTCCTCCACCTTTCAGGCTCCCAGCATCCTCTGGGACCAAAAGTTCTCCATGCCCCCCTCTCCCTTCCCATTTAAAATATCTACTGCTTTGGGGTCTGAAAGTCCATGAAGTGATGTGAGTGACAGGTCTGTGTGGACAGTCACACTTAGAGAAAAACCAGTAAATCGAGTGAACAGGTAAAGCTGAGAGTTCCAGGCCTTAAAACTAAGGTTAAGCTGGTGATCGCCACCGAATTTGTCCAGTATTTTGTCATGGCAATGGAAAAGTAATCCACACACCTTTGAGAACACGGTAGGTGAAGCCCTTTTAGGGGGAAGAAATATTTCTAATCCTCAACTTTTATTTTTTAAAAATTTTATTTATTACTTTTATTTTATGTGTATGCATGTATTGCCTGCATGTAGGTAAGTGCACCCATGTTGTGCAATGCCCGCATAGGTCAGAAGAGGCTGTTGGACTGGAGTTACAGACAGTTGTTAGCTGCCATGTGAGTGCTGGGATTTGAACCTAGGGTCTTTTGCAAGAACAAGCAGTGTTCTTAACTACTGAGCCATCTCTCCAGCCCCCTAATCCTCAACTTTTAAACCTGTGATTCTTAACCAGGACTAACTGAGGAACCTGTGATCAGAAATTCAGATGCAATAGGCCTGCAGTGGGTCTTGGGTGTTATTCCATGACTCTGATGAACAGTTAAGTGTAGAATTGTTTTCTAAGCCAGTAGAAATGATACTGTATGAAGTAGGTCATCCTTGGGGCTGGAGAGATGGCTCAGCGGTTTAGAGTACT